GTGTTTGAGATTGCGCGATGCAAGGCTTCTGAACGGGGCGAGCAACGATCGGATGAGTAGGCGGCTCAACATCCGCCGACCGCGCTGGCGTTGGTCCAACCTTCTCGACGGGGCCCACTTCTGCCGGCAAAGCCGCAGTCCTGGACCATACTATCGTCAAAGATTCGGTCAAGGGCTGCCCGGTTAGCCCAACCTTTTCCCGCGATTCTCTGTCCATCCGTTGTCGCTCCAGGCCCGACCTCCGACTTGCAGGAACATTGTCTCTTATATGTTCATCTGCATTCCCTTTCAGACGACCCCGGGCAACGGCCATCCTCTTTTGGTCATCATCTCTGATTACCTGGGCCGTTTGCCCTCGTTTTCGGAGGGCTCGCAGGGCTTCCGATTCTACTCTTTCGGCCTCGAGCCCAGCAGCTTCAACTTGATTGCGGGGCCCATGATTCTCTCGCGCTGCTTGTTCTCGGGCCCCTTCCCTCCCCACCCCCTCCTGGCTGCGCCAGGCGTTACTCTGTATTCAGCTTTCTCCCTCGCAGCCTTCTGCTGAGATTCTGACGCTATTTGTTCGACTATGCTCTGGGTTCTCAAAATTTCATTCTCCTCTTGGGCCAAGCGCCGCTGGGCCTCGTCTGCAACTCCTGCTACGCTGGCCTCGGCATGCTGTATCCGTTTCTGCGCATTTTCCGCAATGGCAGCTTCCTCATATCCCATCATGTGCGCCATTGCCTGCCTCTCTGCACCAAAAACTGCAAGCGTGCGTTTGGCCTCTTCAGCGGTCTTCTCATCTACTCGCGCCTCCAGGATGATCTGTTGAATTTGTGCACTCGCAGCCCCCAGCTGTTCTCGATCCTGTCTATTTTCCGCCCGCTCTAGCATGGCGATGCGATGGCAATTCTGCTCTTCCATCGTAATGCATCCCGTGCAAAGCCATGCTAAACTGCACTTGGGACAGACATTCGAACGTCGTGAACGCGATGGCCTCCGACATGGACCCCCTGGTTTGCGCGCCCCCCCGGGGCATCGATTCCCCGCCTGAGTCGGGCGCGCGGGCCCGGCTCTCCAGCGACCTTCCCGCATTGAGAAGCCGCTGGGGATTCTATTCGATGACAGCCGCGGTGATCCAAAGGCGTCGAGCCCCCTAGAACTAGAACGCCCGGCCCTGGGGGCCTTACTGGAAGGCCCCCGTGCGCTGCTGGAAGCAAGCGCGCGTTGCTCTCTTGTTCCCACGCCCCGGCTGATGAGCTCGACGCCCCGATTCTGTGTTATTCCGTCTCTTACGTCATGCATTACAAGCTCATCCATTCTGGCACTCTGTCCCTGTTAGCCCTCGACAATGAATCGGGTCGGTGGAAACCTTACAATAAGGGCGAACAAGTAAAGTCATCGCCCTCACCCTTCGGCTTCTTTGTCATTGGATGGGGAGTCGCGCCTGTAGATTCTCGTATATTCCTCACTGTGCGCACGACATCGGGGGAGCTCAACATCGGCTGTGCCGACGAGCATCCACTTCGATCTGGGCATCCCCCATTTTCGAGATCGTCATCCGAATCAGCAACTGCCTTCTGGACTGCCGCAATCGTTACATGGTCAACCGACGCGTTCGCTGACGGAGCTTCGCCTGAGGCGAGCCCGACACATCCGTCGGGAAGAGGATCAAACTGATACGATGGACCAGGCGAAGTTTGGAATCGAGCATATTCTTTGTTCTTTTCAGTCGAATGAGAACTATCCCTTTCCAATTCCAGATCACTCACATCCTTGCTCTGCCCATGCAATGCGAACTGCGCTGCGCGTTCTGCGTCAAAACTCTCGTCGCCTGGCATTCCTATGTGGACATGATCCAACCTATTATCCATCTCAAACTCAAAATCAATCGAAGGATGAAAATCTGGATGTATCGACGCCAGTTCAGATTGTCCTTCGGCGGAAGTTTTGGATGTGCCACACTTTCCGCCCGAAGCCTGTACTCTGGACCTTATCGCCGAGTCAACCGAAGAGCCCCCTTCTGTCAAGTCAAACGCAGTCTCTGATGCTTGCTTTCTGGGAAGGTTGAGATAATTGGATAGCCTCATAAAGGCCTGTACACTTTCGTTACGCTCGGAAGGATATTGAGTGTCTGTTCGTCCGAGAGATCCTTCTTGTGATCCCATGTTCTGCGGAACTAGCGGCTGTGCCGTCGTTTCGGCTGATGACAAATCTTTTTTCTTGGATTCTGATAATCCCTGAAAGAGGTTTTGTTGATGTCTCATGGTCAGTGGGCTCCGCCGATGACATGGGGAATGACGGATAATGCCGTCAAACTTACACTAGGATATCACTGAAGGGAGGAGGCCGGCCCGCCGGCCGACGCACGCGCGCGCGCCGCAGGCGCGCTCGTTTTCCGCTAACCTTGCGTGTGTATCATATATAGTTGCGAAAGCACACGCGGTCAGTTCAGGCAGCGCGCGCAAGGCAAAGGAGCAGGAAGGGCTAAAGGATGGTGGAACGGAAGGGGTGCATTGACTGGAGGAGGAGGAGGGGGAGGAGGACAAGCTAGGTGCGCTCGCGTCATATCTGACGTCCTACCCCATTCCCTCCCATCCCTTACCATGGCGCTGATTTTCTCAATCCGCGGACGCGTGTCGTAGCGGACCTGTGGCTCCACACGCGCGTGCGTAGTGGGTGGTGGTGCGCGTGCGTGGGTGCGTGCGTGCGTGCGTGGTTGTGGTGGTGGTGGTGGTGGTGGTGGTGGTGGTGGTGGTGGTGGTGGCGGTGGTACTGGTGGTGGTGGTGGTGGTACTGGTGGTGGTGGTGGTGGTGGTGGTGGTGGCGGTAGTGGTGGTGGTGCGGCGCGGTGGTGGCGGGCGGATGGGCGCGCGAGAAAGAGGCCCGCGCTGGGGCGAGAACGCCATCCTGAACGACGGAGGCCAAACACCGATCCGAAAATGAGGCCCACGCTGCAGCGGGAGCACGATTCGGAACGATTTGGGAGCAAAAATGAGGCCGGCGCCTGGCCGCCATCGGGGGAAGAGGGAGAGTAGCATTCATATTGAAAAATTGCTTCAGAAGAAGAAGAAGAAAAAGAGTACGGGGAGGAAACGGAAAACGAAACAGAGGAGAAAGACGGGAGCGGAACGGAACGCGCAAGTCCGCCGAAACGGAAATATGTCGAGGGTCGGCGCGGGCGGGGGCCTTGTCATGAAGAGCCCATCGCGAGCGTGATGATTTGCCCCTCCTATCTGTGCCACGCACACCTGTCGCAGGCAAAACGTAACCACCATCGGAAAGTGGTGTCGTCGGATGTGTTTGCATTGTCCACCGATTTCTGTGAGACCAAAAACGCGACGAGATCATGATCCCAGCGATTAATATGCCCTTCGCGGTTCCTCTGGCTACGTCGTTCGTCATTCACCGATGGGGTTCAAAACAGCGGTGCGCTGTGATCATCTGACATTTTAATGATTTGCGGCGAGGCAAGCCGGCCGCCGATTCTGTCGGAAAACGAAGCGGATGAGCAGGAGGACGAGGAGGAGGAAGGCGGGGTGAAAAATGAGGCGGAAGAGGAAGAGGAGGAAGGAGGAGGAGGATGAGGAGGAGGAGGACGACGGGGAGGAGGAGGAGGAGGAGGAGGAGGAGGATGAGGAGGAGGAGGAGGAGGCGGAAAAGGAGGAGGAGAAGGAGGAGAGGGGGGAGGAGGAGGAGGAGGAGGAGGAGGAGGAGGAGGAGGAGGAGGAGGAGAAGGAGGAGGAGGGCGCACCGCCTGTCGCTACCGATCCGTACGGGCGCGCAGGGCATCAGATATGGATGGAGAAGGGCGCGCCGAACGCGACCACCCTGAGCAGGAGGTGGGAGGGACAGTGAGGTATGCGGCGTCACCAGAAGCGGGTTCGCAACCCATCCTCCTGGCCGTGACGCCCCGCTACGGGGGCAGTCCACCGAAGCCACTCCCTACTGCTGTCCGCCGCCGCCACCACCTCCTGCCAGATCCAGCGACTCCAGGAGGTCCAGCCTGGCCTCCATGGCTGAGGCGGATCTGGGCGGTGCTGTCCCTGACGCTGACGACCACCGCCTCTAAGCCCTCCAAGGGGCCACGGATGAATCGAACACGATCGTCAGGTGAGAATGTGGGCGTGCCCTTGCTCTTGTCCTTGCCCTTGCCTGGGCCCGTCTTGCGCGGTGGCAGATCATCCGCCCAGGCGTCGTTGAACCCGTCGCAGGACTCATCGACCGCCATGCCGCCGCTCTCCACCTTCTCCACCGCCGCCGACTGCGCCGAGCCGCCGCCGCTGGCATCGGGAGCTCCGTGAGGTGCCGACGCGCCGCCCTTGCCGCCTCGCCAGCGGCGCCGCCGTCGGCGCCGAGGCGCCGCCGAGCTGCCTGCGGCCGCCGGCACGAGCGCCACCTCTAGCGTTGAGCGCTGCGACGGCTGCGCGCAGCAGCCCCTCGGCCGCGCGCCGAACGCGACCACCCTGAGCATGAGGTGGGAGGGACAGTGAGGTTTGCGGCGTCACCAGAGGCGGGCGCGCGGGCGTCCCGCCGCGGGACGCCTCCGCGGCCAGGCCGCTGGCAGCATGCGCCGCCAGGAGGGCGCCGCGGGCGGCCTCCGTGGCCCCGCGGCGCGCACCCGTCGTCGTACCCGGCATCGGCTCCGTCGCGGGCGGCGGGGTGCCCAGCGGGACAGCGTTTGAGCCGAGACAATGCTGAGGAGGAGGAGGAGGAGGAGGAGGAAAAGGAGGAAGAGGGGGCGAGGGAGGAGGAAAGGAAGAGGAGAAGGAGGAGGAGGAGGAATTGGCTGAGCAAAGCAGGCCAAGTCCATCGGAGAGGGGGAGGAGGAGGCGGAAGAGGGGGAGGGAGGTCCTCATCATCAAGTAACTTGATATACAAGAATGCCAACTACGTCTCACGACGACGACTCCGCCGTAGACCTCATCGAGGAGTTCTACGATTCAGATTGGTAGCGGAGCCTGTGGTCTCCGGCGAGCCACGGGCTTCCACCGGTCTCGCTCAAGATGTCGGCGGGAGCGATGACTACCATTGGCCCTTCACAGTCGACGACGGCGACTACAAGAGTGGACGTCCCGACTTGGAACGGCGAGGCCGACAGATTGACGAGCTACAAGTTCGAGATCAACATGTTCATGAAGAGCATCAAGGTGGCGGACCGCTATGTGTGCGGCCCCCAGCTGGTGCGCGTTCTCGGAGCGAGTGTCCGGATGACAGTGGAGAACTGCCCGGACATCAACGACGTGGATGAGATAGACAAGAACGGGAACCTGGTCGGCTGGAACAGGGTTCTCGACTACGTGCTGCAGAAACTGGACTACACGAGTCTTAATGATACCGGTCTCCTCGCGGAGGAGTTCTTTGTGAAGATCGCGAGGAACTCGGACGAGACCTTCCAGGACTGGGCGGCCCGGTTCGAGAAGAAGGAGCGTGAGCTGCTGACACAGCTCAAGGCCATCGACGGCGGCGTCGAGGAAGCGACAGCGAGACCTCTCCGGACATGGTGGTTCTTGAGTAAGTCTCGACTCACCCCAGTGCAGCGCGGAGAGATCACGGCGACAACTAGAGGCGACTACGACTATGCGAAGACCTACAAGACCTTGCTGACTCGCTTCCCAGCGGAGGCGCTCGCAGAACTTGACGGCAAGACCCGACGTGATAAGGTCTGTTATGACGAGGAATACGACGAAGCCGAGGACGAGATCGGTGGAGAACACTACGACGAGATAGTAGATGTGGTCGAGCAGCTGATCAATCTAGCTGAAGAGGACGAGGAAGAAGATGAGGCTGCTGACGGCCACAGCGCGGATAGCGAGGTGTTCGCGGAGTTCAAGCAGGTGGGCCAGAGCTTCAAAGATGCTCGAGATCTTCTGCGACGGCTGCGAACGTCGCGGGACTACTACCCTGTGGTGGCCACGAAGGACGAGCGCGAGCGCCGGACGCCCTCGCCGCCAGCCCCTGGACGGGGACACTTCCGACCGACGGGCGGTCGCGGCAGGTTTGGAGGCTGCTCACGGCACGAGGCCGCGCACGGATGCGGCCGCCGCGACCTCTCCAAGATGAAGTGTGTCGCATGCCACGAGTACGGACATCGAGCTGTGGACTGCCCCCGGAGAAACACGAAGGGCCAGGCAAGCGGGGCCCAGGGCAGCGCACACAACGGCTCCATCCCATCGGCCCTCAACGAGTACATGTACCTCCTGGAGCGCGACGGGATCTGGGCCGTCCTGGACATCGGGGCCACCCAGAGCTTGGGAGGCGTTGAGGGCATCGAGAACCTCATGTACGAGATGCTGGTCGACCACGGCGAGGAGTTCGAGACGGACAGCGAGGCGTGCTCGTTTACCTTCGGTGATGGCCTCTCCAAGAGCTCGATGGGCACCGTCACGGGCAACGTCTTCCTGGGAGGCGATCTCTTCTATGTGCGCCTCTCGGTGATGCCGAACCGGGTCCCGATCCTCCTCGGCATGGACATCCTGAGCGACTGTCTCAAGATGGTCGTTGACTGTGGCCAGAACTGGATCGGGTTACCCACCCTCGGCAACAAGGTGTTCTACTGCGAGCGCCTCTCCAGCAACCGCATGGCCGTCAACGTATCGACCCCGCAGTGGTGGAAGGAAGCGCCATTTTTCTTGCCGAATCCGGGATGCCTGGCCACCGAGTCGGACGACCCGAAGGTACTGATCGAAGAGCTGGCGTCAGAGACAGCCCCGTGCCGCTGCTGTCTCGCCGTGCGCTAGGGATAGCGCACCCTGATGGTGGCAGCGAAAGAGAAGTCTCATTCGCCACCTTCATCATCGGGGGGGCACGGCCGACTCGGTCAGCGAGGGTGCGAAACACCTGCCAGAGCGACGGAAACATCGACGGCGCAAGCACCTACCAGAGCGACGGAAACACCGGCGCGGCGCGGATCGGCGAGAGCGACGGAAATCCCGATATCGACCGGTTCATCGGGTCCTCCCTCATCCTTGACTCCAGCAGTATGGACCTCCTCAGCCTCTGGGACCTCAACAACTGACCAGCGACGACAGAATAGACAAGCCAGCCAGCCTCATGACGAGTCTAAGGTAAGGAAAACGAAACCTCACGTTGAAGAAGCTGAAATACAACAAGCACGAGAAGAAACAACAACAAAACGGAGTTCACCCGTGTATTGCGTGCAGCCTCATTCGGCTCAATCCATATATTCGGCAGCAGCCACGACCAGCAGTCTTCCACGACCTCCATATCATTCCCAAGCCGCCTCTGGCCGCTTGGATGTCATGCGGCGGCTCTTCAGCTGGGCTTGGATCAGCAATGCAGTCACCACCTGTCCCTGCGGCTCGCCCAGAGTGGGCACGCCCGCGTCTGCGGGCAGCCCCGTCGACGCCTTCCTCAGCACCTCCAGCGACCCCAGCACCGACGACTCCCCGCTCTCCAAGCTGCCACCACCCTGCGGGGAAGTGCTCGTGCTGCGGAGAAGTGGGGAAGACCAAGCGAGAGTGCAGCTGTTTCGGGGGGAAGGGCCACCAGTGCCTCCGACAGACACCGACACAGGGCGCTCCGACGACGCCCGTGGTCACCGCGACGTGCCCAGCGCCAGCGAGTCCTTCCCTGGCAACGACAGCTACGAAGACTCGAACCACTCCTCCGAAGAACGGTTGCTCGTGCTGCGGGGCAAGAAGGGGGGGACCATCCGGGGGTGCAGCTCCCGCGAAGGCAAGAGACACCAGTGTCTGAAGACGGAAGTGGAATCAATGCGGAGCCAGGCAGTGGAATTGCGCTGGCGGCGACTGATCAACAAGGCCACCTCCCCGGATATCGAGGAAGGCTGGAAGTTCCCGGCGGGGATGCTCGACGACTCAGACCTCCAGGACGCGGGCTCGAAGAGGAAGCGCTAAAGCAGCTGGACGAGCAGGATCTCAAGCTTCTCTTCGACACGACAAGGCCATGGACACGATCTACAGGAACATCGCCGAAGACGTCTCGGAGCCGAACAAGCTCTTCCGCATCGACCTCAAGGAGGTGCGCTGCCCGGAAGACTCCAGCTTGAGCCAAGCCGTGCAGGAGCAGGGCGGCAAGATCTACAGGTGCGGCCTCTTTAATGGAATAGATATGGCGACGGCAGCTGGGCGGCGACGAGCACTTCATCTTCTTCGGCGACTCCGACCCCGCCGACTGGTGCTGAGCCCACCATGTACCGCAGACTGTCCGATTCAGAACCTGAACCAGAGGACTGACCACCAGAAGATCAAGTACATGGCGAAGATACGCACGGTCCGTCGCACCCAGCGAGGGAAGAGGCCAAGAATATTGTCGACTGCCGCGCCGAGCTCGAACAACCGGCCACGAGTCGGAGCTGGCCACCTGGTCCCATTCACCATCCATCAAGGCGATGCACGAGCAGATGGACGAGACCGTGATCCATGGCTGTGCGCATGGCCTTCGCGAGGTCCGATCAGGCCTTCTGATGAAAAAGGCCCGGCGAATCTGCTCTACCGACCCGGAGTTCGGAGCGAAGCTCGGAAGAACATGTTCCAACCGTCCCGGCAGGGGCGACAACCATGCCCATCGGGCCATCGAGGACGGCCAGGTGGTGGCGCAGACGGCATACTACCCACCAGCGCTGCGCAAGGCCTGGGCGAAACACATCACGCGGAAGAACGCGAGCGTCCGCTACGGCACGGAGATCCACTCGGGCCTAGAGCAGATCCCGGAGGACACCGAGGGCGAGCAAGAGGCAACCCTCGAAGACGACCTTCCTCCCAACGAGCTCGAAGAGATGGACGAGGATGAGGTCATGAGAGGCCTCGGGATCTCTGGGGCACCAACCAAGAAGGAGGAGGTGGAGATCGAGCAGCGGCTGACGAGGCCCCACCAGAACCTGGGGCATCCGAGTGACAAGACGCTCTACAAGATCCTCGCGGCATCTGGGGCCCCAGCACAGGTCGTCCGACTCGCTCTACGTCTTCAGTGTCACGGATGCCACGTGGGGCAACTTCCGAAGGCTGTGAGAGTGGTCTCTGGCATAGAGCTACCAAGAGTGCTCGAAATTCTGGCCTCGGACGGGCTAGAGTGGCTCTCACCAAAGCAAGACGCCTTCATGGTGACACTGAACCTCGACGAGGGGCCCGGACTCACGAGCGTCACCTACCACGGACAGAAGGGCGAGCGGAACGGAAACAGGTCGACGTCCGAGGCAATCGCGACATGGAACACGTGGTGCAGCTACTACGGGCGACCCCGTCTACTGCGACTTGATCCTGAGGGTTGCCGCCGATCACAGGCGGCGGCAAAGTGGTGTTCCGATCACGGCATCGAGCTGTGGATCGCTACTGGCGAAGCCCACTGGCTGATGGGCAAGGTGGAGCGACGCATTCAACTTTTTAAACGTCCGATGACGAAGCTGGCGACCCTCGAGGGGCTGATCTCCTGGGCCGTGGCCGCCATGAACAGCATGGACAAGGTCGGCAATCACTCCCCACTAGAGCGCGCGATGGGCGCGACGGGCATGCCTGCCTCCAGCAACCCGTTCGCCATCGTCGACAGGGGCACCGGCGAGACGCAAGAACAACGACGCCTTCTAGCCCGCAAAAGCTTCCCGGAAGTGGTGCATGCGGAACGGCGCCGGCATGCAGAACGCGCTCGGAATCGCGTCTATCAGATCTGGGACCTAGGGGGCCTCGTATACTTCTGGCGCAAGGGGAAAGGCCTCGAGAACCGTCCTGGGAAGAAGGGCGGCTGGCATGGTCCCGCCCGCGTCCTGGTGCAGGAAAAACGGCACGTGGACGGGCGCACTCGCCCGACCTCGGTGATCTGGGCCTCTCATGGGAACGTGCTCCTCAGGTGTGCCCGGGAGCAGTTGCGGGCCACCTCCGAGGCGGAAAGGATGATCACCGAGCTGCAGCGACAGGCCAACCTTGGCAAGACCACGACGGAGATCCTGGAGACGGCGAAGGCGGGGACCTTCGAGGACCTTCTGGGGCAGGGCCTTCCAAATCTTCGAGAATACGAGCCCCATCGCCACCGCTGAAGAACTGCCCTCCTCGGCCATCGACGAAGCGGGAGAATCACCGCGCACCGGCGCTGGAGCGGGCGGCGCGGTGGCGCCGCCACGGCAGGTGACGCCCAGCTCTGCCACCGAGACACCAAGGAGACGGTCCAGATCGCCACCGTCCCGCTCGGTGGACCGGCGGGCGCCGTCGCGACCACAGCCTGGAGATGCCTCGTCCTCCACGGGCGGCGCCGCTGCCCGGGGCGAGTCCAGACCACGGTGGAGGATGGCTCACTGCAGACCTGAGCTAGACCTCCACGCTCCGCCTGAGAAGCGGCAGAAGGGACTGGACGAGGAGATGACCAAGGACATGGGCGACGACTCTAACCTCCTGGTCAACCTCTTCCACGACAAGCTGAACATCACCCTCGTCACCGACGAGCAGCAAACCGCCTACTTCGAGTTCCTCGTGGACGAGAAACCGACGCTCGACGGGCGCCGCGGCTTGATGTACCGCACTCTGGACAGCTTCGTTGTCAATCAACGCCGCAAGGACAACGTGGAGCTCAGCTGGTCAAAGATGAACACTAACGAGCGGATGGAGTTCGAGGGGACCACCGCCAAAGAGACCAACAACTGGGTCCAACACCCGAGGCCCAGGCCAGTTTCCATTTCCCGGTTCACGGACGCCGCCGACATCGCCCGGGCGAGGTGGCTCTTCACCCGCAAGACAGACGGGAAGGCAAAGGCACGGCTGGTGTTCCTTGGCTATCAGACCAAGGACCTGGGAACCTACGCCGAACCCGACAACCCCGCGACGGGCTCGACGCGACATGCTCGCAGTGGCCGCGGCAAGCCACTGGAAGCTGATCAAGGGCGACGTTGCCTCGGCCTTCCTACAGGCGCACGAGCTGGACAAAGATCTCGCCATCGCGCCCGACGCTGCGCTCAAGAAGGCGTTCGACGTGAAAGACGGCGAGATCCTACAGGTGGTGAAGCCGGGGTGCGGCATCGGCGAGGCATCGCGCCACTGGTGGGAAACTGTCAAAACAGAGTTTGCAAAACTGGGCCTCCAGGCGTGCGAGCTCAAACCCTGCCTCTGGAAATTGCACTGCTCCAAGACAGACAGTTTGATCGGCATGGTTATGGCCCACGTGGATGACTTCATCCTGGCAGGTGACATTTCTCATCCCGAATGGCAGACAAAGGTCAAGCAGATCCGGGGACTCTGCAAGTGGAAGACCTGGGGGGACATGCGCGAGGGGCTCACCTCCCTCGAACAGCGTTGCATTACCATCGAGGAGAACGAGAAGGGCTTCTTCCTCCACCAGCAGACATACGTCGACAAGACCCAGGAGGTTCGTGTCGCGAGCGGTACCAAGCGGCGGACCACCGACACCTTGACGGATGCAGACAAGACGGTGCTCCGGGCCTTCTGCGGCGAAATCCACTGGCTCGGCGTGAACACCATGCCCTTCCTCCTGTCATGGGTCGCAGATCTCCACTCAAAGATCCCTACGGGCACCCACAACCTTTTCACGGCCGCGAACCGAATCGTCAAACTTGTCAAACAGAGCCGCCAAATCGGAATGCAAATCTACCGGCACAACCTGGACGACCTGGCCCTTTTCACCTGGCGCGATGCAGCTTGGGCAAGCCGTCCCGACGGACATTCGCAAAGCGGGCGCATCACGGCCATCGCGACTAAGGCAACCATGGACGGGAATCTTTCGGAGTTCACCGTCCTGGACTGGGGCTCACGGAAGCTGCGCCGCGTGGCTCGGTCGAGCCTCGCGGCCGAGGTGCGCGCTTGGTGCTCGCAGAGGTGATCCACAACATGTCCCCGCTTCGGGACTGGACGACAGCACTTCGGAGCTTGCCGGCGGCTTTAGTCGCGGACTGCAAGGCCTTCTACGATGGCGCGGTGCGCTCTCGGTCGGCTGGACTGGCACCCGAAGAGCGGCGGACGGCCATCGAAGCACTGGCTCTCCGGGGCGCCCTCGACGAGGGACAGACGTCACTCCGCTGGGTGCACTCACGTGCGCATATCGCCGACGGGCTCACCAAGGCCGGTTGGCAGGCTTGCGGCGTGATCCGGGCCTTCCTCGAGACTCAACAGTGGCGTCTCATCTACGACGAGCAGTTCATGAGTGCCCAGAAACGGGCAGCCATGGCCAAAAACATCTTCGACGAGACGAACCCCGACGACCAGGCCACCACGCGGCGGGTGCTCGAGGAGAGACGCCTGGTGCGCCAGGGGCAGACTACGGATAGCCTGTTCGGACACGCAGGGAACGAGATGAACACTTCGGCACCAACCACCTCCGACTACCAGATCATGATCCAAAAGATACAACAGGAGGTCGACGAGCACAAAAGGTTCATCAATCAGCACTCCCTGACCAAAGCAACCGGCCGTGCAGGCGACATGGCAGCCAGTTTTGCCCGCTGTCTGAAAGGAGCGCAGGCAGAGTGCGTCTACTACGTTGCTGCTTCTCTTTCCTGCCATGTGTTCCATCGTCGCCCGCCACGGCTCAAGGCGAAGGTGGGCGGGCTTCGCAGACGCAATCCAGGCGGCGCCGGGGCGACCGCGCAGGGGTGCGCGGCAAATTGCGCGAGGACAAGAAGGTGTCCTCACCATCAAGTCACTTGACATACAAGAATATCAACTACGTCTCACGACGACGACTTCGCCGTATACCTCACCGAGGAGTTCTAAGGCGGAGGAAGAGGACGAGGACGAGGAGGAACGGGCGGAGCAAAGCCGGCCAAGTCCGTCGTCATGGCCTCCGCCGCGAAGGCCTTCAGGGGCGAGTTCTGAGGGCGCCCGTGGGGGGGGCGGCACGCTGCGCGACGGGGCGGGCATTTCTTGCGCCGCACCAGCACCCGCCAGCGAGAGCCGTCGCATGGCCCCTGCTCCTCCTCCTGCTTACACAATTGCGTGCTCCCTCTTCCCGCCCTCCCCAAACCTGCCCTTCTGTCCCTCCCCTCTTGTCGTGCCTGTTGTGGCATACAGTCGGCACTGATTAGTCGGTCGACCCTGCCAAACCAAGGGTACCTTTAGGTACCCTTGTGTCCTGTGCCTGGCGACCCATGCATCCTACACCCCCCATGGCAATGTGGTCCTCGAAAGGGTCTTGTGTCCTCTCGCGTGTCCTGTCCAATCAAGGCTGGCTGTACGTATTATCACTCGCATTATTATCGTTCGTAGTTTTTGTGATTATCAGTCGTGCTATTCATATGATTCTTATTGTGACTACAAATATTTGAAATATGATTATCATTACCCGTTTGCCCGTTGCTGGGTGCAGAGGGAAACTCAGCAAGAAATACGTCGAGCATCAGTCTGCAAACGAGGAACTGCAGCGAATGCCTTTCCCTCCGCTGCCCCCCTGGTACTTTTGCCTCCCTGGCGTCCGCCCCCCTCTGGGCACTCCTGCAAGCCTTGACGGGCAAGATCAGGCTTCGCCACGGCGTGGTCGCGGCACGTGCTCCCACGCTCCCACGCCCGCAGACGAAGCGAGGCTCGCTCTGCAGATCGCTGAATGCCAGGCTGGGGAGGTCCCGCGCGAAGGTGAGGCTATCGCCAGTAGGGGCCCCGTGCTGAGGGAAGGCGTCGGGGTGCACGCGGCCACCACCGAGGCCTTGAGGCTGCCTGAACGCTGCGTGAGCGACCTCGAAAGTATCCCACTAGCCCTCTGGGCTAAGGTGGTTTAAAGCTGACGAAGGCAACAACAAACCCCTAACCCCATGTGGGGGGCGACATGAGCGAGTCAGGAGAGCCAGAAACATTAGGGATAAAGGAGTCTGTTCTACAGATGTACCAGGCCACCAAGCCACCCCGCACATATCAAGTATTCCTCATGCAAAGACGGGGACCTCGGTGAGGCCACATCTGTCCGTGGAGTCTGCCCCTCCCCCCAATACCCACCGGACCCACCCCACTTGTCACCCCCCTTGTCGCCCCCCCCTTCCACCGGCCCCCCTCCCCACCTCTCTACCCCCCCACCCCGCCACCTCCTTCTCCACTCCTCCCTCCACTACCTCTGGAGTGTCCAGGGAGCCTCGAGAAAGCTCTGAGCTCAACCTTGTCGCCACACTTCCCCTGCTCGTTGTCCTCTGCTCCATCTGCTCGCCCGCTTCCCTGCTGCTACTGCTCCTCCTCGTCCTCTTCCTCCTCCTCCTCCTCGCCCTCCTCCTCCTCCTCGCCCTCCTCCTCCTCATTGCCGTCCTCCACCCATCATCATCATCATCGACATCCCCTTCCTCAACAGCAGCATCAGCAGCATCATTATCAGCATCATCGTCATCACCACCATCAACATCATTGTTCATCCACATTATCATCAACAACATCAGCATTATTGCCGTCGTCTTCATCATAATCGTCATAATCGTAATCCTTGTCCGAAACCCCATCATCATCACCATCATCCTCATACGCATCATACTCCCATCTTCACCTGACACATCCCCATAACTGTCGGCATTACCAGCCTCGCCATCTTCCCCATCAATATCATCATCATCGTAATCAGCGCCATCATCATCATCATCATCATCATCATCATCATCATCATCATCATCATCATCATCAACACCACCATTGTCGCAATCATCATCACCATCGTCATCACAAGCATCACCACCGCCATCATCATCACCACCACAAATCATCATCATCATCCTCATCATCATCAACAACTGAATAAACCCCGATATTATAAATTAGCAACAAATGAACCGCAATTGAGTTTGACCTGCCATGCACGGTCCGGGCAGCTCGACGCCGTGGAGAGGCCACGGCAAGACAACAAAACAGACCTCCATCATCATCACCACCATCATCATCATCCTCATCTTCGTCCTAATCATCATCATCATCATCATCATCATCATCATCATCATCATCATCATCATCATCATCATCATCATCATCATCATCATCATCATCATCATCATCATCATCATCATCATCATCATCATCATCGTAAGTATCATCGCCATCATCATCGTCGTCGCCATCTACCTGATCTTCCACCACCTTATTCTCCTTCCCCTTGGAGAGAAGCTCGAAGGTTTGCCTTCACTCTTTGCTCCACTGCATTGGGCGGCGCTCCCATCATGAGGGCGACTCGCCTGGGCATCGTTTCTGGATGGGCCCGTGGTGACACGCCAAGCAACAAGCATATGCCAGGCCAGCTGGCGCGCAGCGAACTCAGGGACTGTGTGAAGAAATCGTCTGCGAAACCATGCCCCTCGGGCACCCAAACAGACGACGCCGAGCCCGCTGCGTCCGAAATCTGCGTGCTCGCCTCGTTCGGGCTTGGCCTGGGTTGCCCAGACGGGGGCGATCGGCCCGTGGGAGAGGGATCCGAGGGCCCCGTGGACGTCCTCGCGCCGGCCATGGAGAAAGATGCGGGGCAAAGAGAAGCGGACGCGCAACATGGCCGTGAAGGCCGTGCATCTCGAAATTGGCCCAGTATCAACCCCGCAATGCTGCCCGTGAAATCCGAAAGCACGCCCGATATGTTCGTCGCGGTGTGCACAGTAAACTTGGACAAGGGCACGGGGATGACAATCCGCTGTGTGGGGGGCGTTGATAACAAAATGATGGACGCGAAACGCGGCGCCGTCCTCCAAAAGTCACAACCAGCTGATGGCAACTGTTCGTGGCGGCTGGGGGGCGGTTGAAAAAATATGGAGACCACAACGACGAGCAAACACGAAACGCGACGGCAATAAAGCCACCGGCCATCCCCCCGTAAGGCTCGCCGGTGCTGTTGGACCCGTTGTTCTTCAGGGTGGTGGCCTCCAAAATGGCCCCGTGGAGCGTCTCCCGCAAGGGCGCGGGGTCCGCTGACTCAGGTTCCCCCCGAGGCCGCAGCACCTCGACGTCCTGCACGACAATGAAGATCCCCGCTCTTTGGGCATCGACAGCGGCGAAACGTCCTGCTTGGTGGCCGCGGCAATGGCGACCACCACATTCACGCACATGGCGACGGTGGACGGTACCTTGTGGCCGTCCTCTGCCCTGGTGAACCCCTTGTTCCACGTGGTTGCCTCCCCCATGTAGCTGATACCCTCGGTCCGCTGCTTCTTGCGCGGTGGCTCCGCGCAACCCCGCAACTGCGGTTCCGACGGAACTCCGCGCTACCCCGCGACTGCTGTAGCAACGCAGGCGGCGGTGGATGAGACGGAAGAGCTGGCCTCTTCTTCGACGGCGGAGCCTTCGACGTGGTCGCCAGGGCTTTCTTCGGCGGCGGAGCCTTCGGCGCGCCGCCAGGGGCAGCCGCCGAGGCGGCAGAGGAGGCGGCCTTCTCCTCGGGGGCCGCCGAGGCGGCCGTCTGCTTAAAGCGGCCTCGTCTTCGGACTCTTCGCTGTCGCCAGTCGATTCCCCCAGCGCGCTGCCATGGGCGCTGGGCGAATGCGAAGAGGAAGCTGCGTCCGCAGCTGCGGCGGGAGCTCCAGCGTCAAAAGAACAAAGAGGTATTTCCGCAACTGCGGTCTTGGCGGAAACTCCGACAACTGTCGGCGTCGGGGCCCGCGCGCGCAACTGCGCCCTGGGAGCCCCCCGCGCGCGGCGCAACTGCGCCTTCATTCGCCGCGGGGCATTCCCAGACCGCTCGCGCGGCTGCGACGCGGAAGAACTTGCGCCCGTCGGCGACGGCCGCCGCCGATCCCTGCTGCCACTCGACGCCGAAGTCGCCTCGCGCAGCGGTCGCTCGGGGGATCCGCCACTGCGCACCCCCCCCCCCCCCCCGAATGCTGCGCGGCGCTCGCTCGGGGGCCCGCCGCTGCCCCCCCCCCCCCCCCCCGAACAAAAAAAAAAGGCGCGCCACCGGGCGGCTCCTCAGCCCCGCCAGCTTCTGCTCATGGGCCAGCCCCCACGGGGGCATGGCGCCGCGCGAAGCACGCGCCCCGACGGATGCTCGGACACGGCCGCGGCGAGGGGGGGAGAGGGCGACGGGCGCGAAGGCTAATTAGGCATCGCACGAAGAGGACAGCGAGGAGGGCAACGGAGGGAGCGAGGAGAGAGAGGCTGGCCTCAAGATAGCAAGCGACGTGGGACACGAGGAACCAATAAGATATAGGAGAAGGGAAATCAATGCAATATAGGCGACGACAACAGTAACACACCATGGGCCGTGCAGCTTTACTTCGCGGCTCTCGCGCGCCGCACTTGCGGCTCCGCCTTCCGCAACTGCGGAAAGCTTAGAAAATTGCTGACATGCTCAAAAGAAGTGAAGCGCCGACGAACCGCGCGACGCAACTGCGGTCGGACATATGCGCCGCGCACGGGGGGGCGCCGCAACTGCGGGCGAGATCGGCCACCGCAACTGCGGCGTCGGTTACCGCAGCTGCGGTTTCAAGCCCTCTCCCACCGCGGTTGTAGCCCAGCTCCTTTGGTTGCGTCGGGCCGCCCCAGAATTGGTTCGGCGTGCAATGTCCTGCAGCATGAGAACGCGCCGCAGCCCGCGCTCTTGCCGAGGCCCGCCCCCGGGGGCTGCGCGGGCCCCATTGACGCTCAACCTCGTAGGGGCTGAACTTCGGACTGGACCATTCCGGGCGGACGAAATCCCACGCGGACAAACGGACTGCCTGCGCCTGTCCCCTGCCCACTCCTTTGGCGTGCCTGCGGTGGTAACTGCCTGGGCATGGGCGAAGCTCGCACCTGACCAATCCGCGACGGCGGTCGTTGTCGGGGCCGCGCGCGACGCGCTGAATTGCATCGGCATCCATCTGCGCGACCAGCTGCAGCCGCGACCATGGGGCCAGCTCTGCGCGGCCCCGCCCCCAGCCCCTGCGGCCCTGCG